CAGTCTTTCTTCCTGCAATGTGAGTTCAGTTAATAAAAAGTTAGGGAAAGAACTAGAGGTAAGAGAAAATTGTTTTCTTCTCTGGTGGGTCTGGCAGATATGGGAAGTTCAGAAAAAAACTTCATCCTGTGCTTTAGGAGAGACAGGGGATTGAGAAACAGTAACGAGGGAAGGTCAGAGAGACGTTGAGGCTGATTCCTTGGTTCAGCATGTCAAAGCGTTGTACTTTGGGGTGTTGGTTTTTGAGCCCCAATAGAGGTCTGGGACCTGTCTTTAGGACAAACAGAAAATTGTCCTGGAAGCTCTGGTCTTTCTCAGGCAGGCATGTTAATACAGGGCTGGGGCCATCCTACAGACATGGTCTTATGCTGCTAGAAGCCGGGCTAGAGTTTGGGACACTTCTCTTCAGTACAGGGGTTTGGATGAAGTCATTACATGCTGAAAGTTCTGCAGTTCTTACCACAAAGTCTTCTATGGCGCATCTAACTTCTCACAGGGCCAACTTTTATGTAGAAAGTGAGTAGTTTATCTACTCATTCCACAAATATTAGTGGGGAGCTTTCTACGTGCTGGGCACAGTTTGAGAGCCAGAGAGTCTTAGAATTGTTTGCACTGTTCACTAGTTATTTTACTTGTATTAGTCTCACCGTAACTAAATAGATAGTGAAATTCCTTGAAATCAGAGACACTATCTTATTCTTCTGTTTTCCATACTGTATGGAATTTAAAGGAACCTATTAGTCACTTGAATTTATTAAATATAGTTGAGCAACACAAAAAATAAAGAAAAACACGTTGAAACAGAATTTAAGTAACTTGAGAGTTGAGTAGAGAAAAAAAAGAAAAAGAAAATATTGAAGTAATGAGAGAGATTATTTAACTTCCCCTTCACAAATTTTATATCTTTTTTTGTGGTCTCCAGACTATTTGGTTAGAAAAAGAAATCACTTATTAAGAAGTCTGAAGACCACTGATGAATTTCATAGGTCAAGAGAGGTGAAGTCAAACAACGAGCTTCCCCTAGAAATGATTACACAGGATGATTAAGCCAAAGGGGACATGTTGCTCCAGGCAGTCCCTAATCAGAACACACGTGTTCCCTATCTTAGACCCCAAATCCTTTGAACTCAGAGGAGCAAGTCAAAAGAGGTCTCCAAAACTGTGAGCTTGGAAGAGTTACAGTGTAGAAGATGAGGTTTGAGGAGAAAGTATTGAAGGTGATTCAACTCGAACTTCAGAACTGCTCTCTGAACTTCAGAGACTAGGAATCTGATGCCTAAAGAAGTTGTATCCTCACTGCCCTTTTTGACAGGAAGAAGAAACTAAAATTTACCCTAAAATTTATGCTATCTCCTGTATTTTTGAAATATTCTGAAAAATATTTTCTATTTGCTTTCTTAAGTGTAAGGAAGGAATGAATCTGAGGTACATCATGTAGGTGATATTAAAACTATGCTTTTTGGTGCGTTTGATTTAACATTGCTAAAAATAGTCAAAATTTCTACCAGTTTAACATGTACCCAAAGGCTAAGAATAGATGCAAAGAATTTTATTCTTTCTAGATGCAAGGAATATTCTCAGATCTTGCCAGCTCTGCAGCAAATGGAGGAGGTGGTTCTTGGATGTCAGACTTTGCTGGAGGGAGGCCAGGCTGCGGTAGCCAGTTGTAATGCTTTCCTCTGAGGTGTTGGCATCAGGGCTTGCTTCCACTGCTGTTTTCCCACAGTGATTTCTAAAGAAAGGCCAAGGTTAGGTAAGGGTCAGGGTTGGCACAGATCTGATGTCAGAAGCTGTAAGACATGGTGCTGCTTTTACAAAGATGCATGCATTTTATCTAATAGCCTTTTCCCCTAAAATATCCTCAACATATATTCTATTTCTGTAGTTCTCAGCAGGGTGAGTTTTGTCTCCCAGGAGGAATCTAGCAGTATCTGGAGACATTTTTCATTGTCATAATTGGGAGAGGTTTGCTACTGGCATCTAGTGGGTAAGAGACAGATATGCTACTAAACATCCTATAATGCACAGGGCAGCAGCCACAACAAAGATGAATCCAATCCAATATGTCAATTGTGCCAAGGTTGGGAAACCTCATTATGTATTTCAAGACAGGAAAACCGGCTCCTGGCTTAGTGTGCCTTACTGATCAGTGTGGTTTCTAGACACCAGCATAACTCGGGAGTTCCTGAGAAATACAGACTCTCAGTTCCCCCACTGGGGATACTGGATCAGAATCTTCATTTTAACAAGATCCCCAGGTGACTTGTATGCATCTTTAATATTGAGAAACACTGATAACCTTTGATAAGAACTACAGGGGCAAGGCAGTGAGACAAGTGCTTCAGCGTGGCCAAGTCAAGAGGAGGCAGTTCTGGCCCTACTTAGGCAGCATCTTTACATTAAAGAAAGAAAGAAAAAAAAACCCCTGACTTTTTCCCTGTTTTGTTTTGTGTTTTTAAATTTTCATTGAAGTTTCCTCTATTTTTTTTCTGTTTTGTCTTTCTTTCCTTCCTTTCTTTTTTCTGTCTTCTTTCCTTTCTCTTCCAGTTACTCTGCCTCATTATTTATCTTTATCTCATATGTATGTATGCAGTGCTCTTCTAGGTCCTTAATTTTGAGTTACTCGTGATACCAAAAAGGAAAAAAAAAGGCAGATACTTATCTCTTTAATTAAAGGAAACTGTCCTAGTGGGTAGAATCTGGAAGAACAGTCATACTTTCTGAAATGTAATAACACAATTAAATTCTACCCTCCCTTCGGTGGTAAGATATTAAACAGGAAGGCAATAAAGCTCATCTGATACTAATTTGATCAGAAGCCTGTGCAATCATTCTCTATGATATACCTTTCATCAACACAGCTTTAGGTTTTGAATAGGCAATCTAAAACCCTGGAAATCTACCATATTGACTTAGCAACATTTCTGCTGAACCTAGGTATAATAACAGGACTGATTAAAAATAAAATTTAGTCTGTATACCATGCAATGTAACATACATTTTAGTTCCATGTTTCTCTATAAAAATACAAGCTAAAATTTTAAATTATTAAAACAACCTTCAGTTTAACTTGCTAAACACTTACCTAGCACCTATTGTTTATGAAATGCTAGAAATAAAAATTGTGGAAAATTAGAAAAGTTTAAGATATAATTTTGCCCTGGTTCATAAGCTGGTGTGTGTGTGTGTGTGTGTGTGTGTGTGTGTGTATGTGTGTGTGTTTATGTGTGTGTGTGTTGGAATGGACAGAATATGCAGGGGTCTATTCATGTTAAGTATAGTAACTCACATACCAACAAAGAGTATTGGGAGTTTACGGAAGAATATTCATACTTAGTATTTCTTTGTTATAAAAAAATAGATTTTGAAGTAAAAAGGAAATGACTGAAGAGGTTCCAGTTCCTAAAAAGCTGTGGTTTTCTCAGCGACATTTTACAACCTGGTTAGCAATTACATTAAGTTTTAGGGAAGTTTAAGTAAGGAGCACAAATAGGCCCAATACTCTCAGTAAAGCACCACTGCTATTTATGCCTGTTTTCCCCCAAATTTCTTTATACTTATATTTTAAAACACATCTTATCACATCTTCATAGCTTTTTCTTTTTCTCATTTAAAACTACAGTGGTACCAAAGCAGAGAGATTTATTCTTTTTGATTGTGGATTAAAGTCATACATGGAAGACAATGAAACCATTATGTAAGCATTGAAAAGACTTACCAAAAACCATATGTAATGGGTATTTTTATCAACATAACTGAATAAAATTTATCTCGCTTAAAAATGACTTTTTAAATGTAATGCCTAAAATAGTTATTATGCAAATTTCTTCACCTGGCATCTATTAGAGACTTTAATAATAACACTCTAAAAATGAACTTCAACTTTTCCATGGGATCTAATCTGTATGCAAAAGGACATATGCTATCTGGAAATGACAAGTAATGGGAAGGTTAGTCCTTTTGCTCATACCCTATGACCTTGCAAATGACTCTTGGTGCCAAAAATTACATCAGTATTTGGATGAATTCCTAAATAAATTCAAATTAAATTGAGTCATACTGAAGCTTTATTCAATTAGAAAATAGCATTGAAAGATTCATTAAAAAAGCTAGATAGAACTGGTTTTACGTGAGAAGTTTGATAGGGCAGGGCTCATCTTTTGAAATTGTAAGGTGTGTCTTCACTATGTGATACTGAAGACCATTAGAGTAATTACGAAGGTGTGTTCACTACTATATAAAACAAGTCTACTTCATTCATAGTGCTGGCCTCAAATTTTCCAAACATGCTTTTATTTACCCTAAGTTCTAGGAGTAATGTACTCCTCTCTGGTTTCAACCCTGTGCTCACTTCCTCATCCGTGGCTTTTCTTTCACTTTTTCTTTTTTTTGACTCATAATCTCACTCTGTCACCCAGGCTAGAGTGCAATGGAGCAATCTCGGCTCATTGCAACCTCTGGCTCCTCTGTTCAAGCCATTCTCCTGCCTCAGCCTCCCAAGTAGCTGGGATTATAGGTGCCCACCACCATGCCCAGTTAATTTTGTGTGTGTTTTAGTAGAAACAGGGTTTCACCATGTTGGCCAGTCTGGTCTCAAACTCCTGACCTCAGGTGATCCACCCACCTCAGCCTTCCAAAGTGCTGGGATTACAGGTGTGAGCCACTGTGCCCCGCCCTCATCCATGGTTTTTCTACGGCCTCTAGTCACTTACTGCTGGGTTGCTTTTGGGTCCACATCAACACTTCAAGAAGCTAGTTTACATGTTTTTTTTTGTTGTTGGTGGTGGTGTGTTTGCTTTTTAAATGAGATAATGAAAAGGCCTGGTTGGAATGCTGAAGGTGTGCTGGCAACTTAGGGAGTAACAACTGGTAAAGAAATTCTTGAAAGGAGTTCAAAAATTCTGCTTCTGAGAAAATAGATGTAAGGGAATTATGATTTAGAAAATACTAAACAGATGCATTTTGTTTTACTTAAGAATAGTTTTATTTTTTTCTTTTAGCCTTTCACCTTTGAGCATAAACCATGAAGTCAAAAGCTTCAGAGAAAAGGAAGATGGGTTCTATCTGGGCGCAGAGGTCAGTTGTACCCTACCTGACTGAGGATATCACCAATATTTCTCCAGGCAAGTCTTGGACAAGAAGGAAGGTAAAGAGGAGCGCCATTCTTGTGGCAGGAAGGAGGTAATAGAGGCAGCAAAAGCAGTGAGAAAGACTGTCTGTGGGACCCTCTCTGGGCCACAATACTGAATATAGAGCCATTTTAGGAAGGATGAAAACAGAGGAAGGAAGAGAATACTCCTCTTTTCCAGAAGAGTGTTTTTCTGCCCGATTTCCTTCTGGAAAAAAGGGAAATCTCACAGAGATTCTTCTCATAGCAACATGGGCAACTGCATGGTCAGGCAGGCCTGATTCCCCAGAATGCTCCCTATTTCTAGAAGCTTCCATGATGCTATAGAGAACTATCTAGATAGCTGATGATACTGGTGGATGAACTTAATGGAAGCGGTAATGTGGGATTATGTGTGTGTTGGCAAGGAAGTGGCACCTGAAACAAGGGTAGGGTGGTCTGGCTGGGCATAGAATAGAAATGGAAGGTCAGGCACCATCAGGGTTGCCCATCTCCTGATCCAGCTGAGAAAGACCTGACAGTTCCTCAGGCCCAGGCCTGAACACTAGTTGCCAGCCAGGTGCTCCAGTGATAAGGCAGGGGAGACGGAGAGTGAAGAATGGTGTGTGTGTTTGTGTCCGAGGCCCACTGCCATTCACTCAACTGCCGTTTTGGAGAGGAGCAGAGGAAGTGAAGGAAATTTAACATGCTCAGCTTTCTCTGGATCCAGAGCTAACCAAAGATGCTATTTACTTAATGGAGTTTATCAATTGGGATACATTTGTATTTTTTCCTCTCTTGGTGGGGTTGGGGTCCACAAAGAACATCAAGTATTACAGAAAATCAATCAGCAAAGGGCTTTCTGTGCACAGTAAGTGTAGGATGATAAAATTGGCAAGGCTACTCTGTAAGTGTGGTCCACATTCCCTGGGGCCTATGGATGTCATTTACATAACTGAGTTTTACAGAGCTACAATAATTTCTAAGTTGCAAAATCATATAGTAAATATAGAATGGTAGACAAGACCACCATCATTTAACATGGTAGACAAGGCAATAGATCACAATTGTATTATTGCCGTGTTAAGGATTTTTGTAGTAATAAGCTCTGCTCTGTAATTTTGAGGAATGTAACTTCCTGTGGGGAGATGTCGGGTGCTGCTGGGGTTTGGAATTCTCTAAATGGAACCTCAGGAGAGCTGGAGAAGGCTGTGGGTCTCCTTCTTATTCTCCCACGGTGCACTTGCTGTTTGTCTTCCTCTTTTCACCTCCAAGTTGACTCTTCCCATCTTTTCTGTGCTCTGTGAGCCTTTTGTCCTTGTCAGAACTGCTAAGTGGGTAGACTGAGTGTGAGGACCCCAGAACAAGGACCTCTCAGAGGCATCTTCTAAATCACAGATAACACAGCTGTCACAGAGCAGAGCTCAAAGCCACTTCTTGTGAGAAGAGGACATTTCTTCTCTAACACCTGTTCTAAGTCCAAATAAGGATAATCAAAATCTGAACAAGAAATTTTAATTCGTTCATTTCAGTTTGTTCTTCAATGATGCATTGCAAAGCAATGTTCTTCATTTTTTGTTTTTGTTTTGGGAAACTACCATTTCTTTCTTTTAAGTAATTTTCATTTCTTAAGGAGCCTTGCTTAGCCCAAGATAGTTTTCTCCATCTTTGCCCCCTGCCCATTGGTCTCATTTCCCACAAGAGGGGAGCACTCATCCATTCTCTGGACATGAAAATCCCTTTGAAGTGCTGTATATGCATCTATCATTCTCATTGTCAAGTTTCAGAATGCACGTACAGTATTTATTCTAGCCCTGGTTGGTTGAGTGGGCCATGGTCTGCAGCATGGAGTGTGCCCCTTGGTCAGACACCATCCCAGCTAAGTTCCCCAAGCCCTGTGCCATGGGCGCCCAGGAACTGGTTGAAAGACAGAGAGGTGATGGGGACCTGGAGTGGTGAAGAGCATGGAGTTTCTACGTATTCCCAGCTTGGCTTACTTCAGTCTCCCAGTCTTGAAACTGTGAACATTTGGAACCAGATCATTGTCTGTGGTGGGGCCTGTTCTGTGCACAATAGGATGCTGAGCAGCAACCCTGGCTTCCACTCTCTCAATGCCAGTAGCACCTCCCTCGTCATGACAACCAAAAATATTTCCAGACAGGGCCGAGTGTTGTCCTCACATGAGAAACTCTGGCCTAGGTGAGCAATTGCTTACCTTGTGTTGTTTTCACTTCTGGAGAAAGGATAATTGTCCCCCATTGTGGGGATGAAGGCAGTTAGATAAGGGTCCAAGATGGAGGAAACCCTTGGGCTAAACAAAGCTTTCTAAGAAACTATTGTTAACTCTTTTTAGGTGTCATGGTTATGTTTTGAAGGATCTTGTTGGCTGTGTTTAGATCCTTCATTGCAACAAATATACTGTGTCTATGTAAGACATTTACAATGGGGGCAACTGGGTGTGGGATGTTGAGAACTCTACTATCTTTACTGCATGTCTATAAACTAGAATTATTCTAAAATAAAATGTTTATGTATAGAAAAAGAAAGTTCTCATCTCCATGGAAGAATTTCAAACAGCATTGAATCTTATGAGGGACTGTTGATGAGTTTATGCCACTTAAACCTCACACACTGCCCTTCCACCCCATGAAATATGAGGTGTGGAAGTAGCTGTTCATAGAGCCCAAAGTAACCCAGTGTCAACGAAGTGCTGGCAAAGACCCAAGCAAGAAAGAAAAGGGAGACATGTTGAAAATGCCCCTTTGGAGCTTCATTGGAAAAAAAATCACACATATTTCTCTCTCTACATAGACACTGATGGCAGTGGGATATAGATAGTTTTGATAATAAAATATCTTATTGATAAGGATAGCAAAATACATAGAAACAATATTGAGTTCATGAGCCTGTGATTTTTTAAAAATTTCAATAGATTTGGGGAACAGGTGGTGTTTGGTTTTCATGGATAGGTTCTTTGGTGGTGATTTCTGAGATTTTGGTGTATTCATCAACCCAACAGTGTACACTGTATCCAGTGTATAATCTTTTATCCCTCACCTCCCTCCCACCATTCTCCCTGAGTCCCCACAGTCTACTGTATCATTCTCATGTCTTTGCATCCTTGTAGCTTAGCTCCAACTTATAAGTGAGAACATATGATGTTTGGTTTTCCATTCCTGAGTTACTTCACACTGAGTAATATTCCATGGTGTGTGTGTGTGTGTGTGTATACACATATATATATCACATTATGTGTATATATATATCATATCATATCACATCATATATATCAAATTTTCTTATCTACTTGCTGACTGATGTGCATTTGGGCTGGTTCCATGTTTTGTGAATTGGGAATTATGCTGCAATTGTGAATTGTGCAGCAATTGTGAATTGTGGTGCTATAACCACATGCATGCAAGTGTCTTTTTCATATAATGACTTATCTTCCTTTCTGTAGACCCAGTAGTGGGATTGCTGGATCAAATGGTAGATCTACTTAGTTCTTTAGTTCTTTAAGGAATCTCCATACTGTCTTCCATAGTAGTTATACCAGTTTATATTGCCACCAGCAATGTAAAAGTGTTCCCTTTTCACCACATCCATGCCCATATCTATTATTTCTTGATTATTTAATTATGGCCATCCTTGCAGGAGTAAGGTGGTATTGCATTGTGGTTTTCAAGTTGCATTTTCCTGATAATTAGTGATGGTGAGCATTTGTTCATGTTTGTTAGCCATTTGTATATCTTCTTTGGATATCTATTCATGTCCTTAGCCCACTTGTTAATGGGATTATTATCTTTTTTTTCTTGCTGATTTGTTTGAGTTCCTTGAAGATTCTTGATATTAGTCAAGAATATCTTGGATGAATAATTTTTGAAAATTTTCTTCTGCTATGTGTGTTGTCTGTTTACTCTGCTGATCATTTCTTTTGCTGTATGAGGATTTTTAGTTTAATTAAGTACCATTCATTTATCTTTGTTTTTGTTGCATTTGCTTTTGGGTTCTTGGTCATAAAGTCTTTGCCTAAGCCAGTGTCTAGAAGGGTTTTTCTGATGTTATCTTCTAGAATTTTTATGGAGTCAGGTCTTAAATTTAAGTCTTTGATCCACTGTGAGTTGATTTTTGTATAATATGAGAGCTGAGGACCCAGTTTCATATGTCTACATGTTGCTTGCCAATTAACCAGCACCATTTGTTAAATAGGGTAATAGGGTGTCCTTTTTCCACTTTACGTTTTTTTTTTTTTTTTTTTTGCTTTGTTGAAGATCAGTTGGCCATAAGTATTTGGCTTTATTTCTGGGTTCTCTATTCTGTTCCATTGGTCTATGTGCCTATTTTTATACCAATATCATGCTGTTTTGATGACTATAGGCTTGTAGTTTGTTTGAAGTTGAGTAATATGATGCCTCCAGATGTGTCCTTTTTACTTAGTCTTCCTTTGCCTATGCAGGGTCTTTTTTGGTTTCATATAAATTTTAGGATTGGTTTTTCTAGTTCTGTGAAGAATGATGATGGTATTTTAATGAGAATCGCATTGAATTTGTAGATTGCTTTGGCAATGTGGTCATTTTCACAACATTGACTCTACCCATCCCTGAGCATGGGATATGTTTCCATTTGTTTGTGTTATCCATGATTTAATTCAGCAGAGTTTTGTAGATGTCTTTTTCCTTCTTGGTTGGGAATATTCCTAAGGATTTTACTTTTTTTGTAGCTATTATACAAGGGGTTGAGTTCTTGATTTGATTCTCAGCTTGGTTGCTGTTGGTGTATACTAGTGCTATTGATTTGTGTACACTGTGACTTTTGTATCCTGAAACTTTACTGAATTCATTTATCAGATCTAGGAGCTTTTTGGATGAGTCTTTAGGATTTTCTGAGAATATGATTATATCATTGGCAAACAGTGACAGTTTGACTTTCTCTTAAATGATTTGGATGACCTTTATTTCTTTCTCTTGTCTGGTCTGATTGCTCTCTCTCTAGGACTTCCAGTACTATGGTTAACAGAAGTGGTGAAAGTGGTCATCCTT